ATATATAAAAGAAATAAGATTAGCCATTAGTTGATAGTTTTTGAAGCTAAGTTATGGGCATAGTGGGGTTCATTGTGCTAGTCTTTGTTTCTGTCTGAAATGTTAGAATCTATTTTTGATATAATAATGAAAAAAAGTCTGTAAGAACATCTTCATGAAGTTCTTTGGGTAGCTGCTTCTCAAGGTTCATGGGAATCCAGGCTTTCCCAGGGAGTGGGTGTTCTCCAGCTTGTCACTTGATCTTCTGCAGATCCTCAGGCCCAAAGGAGGCAGGCAGTAGCTCCTTGAGTGTCTTGAGGAGGTATGTGCCATCAGGCTTGGTCATGTAGACAGCCCAGTCGGTACCAAACTGGAAGAGAGGCAAAGTCACCATCAAGTAGGCAATGGGGCCCAGGGGTTAGGACTGACCTGGGCTTGAATTCAGTTCTGTGACTTGCTGCCTAAAGTCCCTCTCGGTGCCTCAGTTTTCCCATCTTTAAAATGGGGATGACAAAACTCATACCTGGCTCATGGGGCTTGGGGGAGGATTGAATGAAAGAATGCCTGTGAAGCAGTTAGTCCTGTGCTTGGCACATTCTCAATGGGCAGCAAATACTGCAAGCTAGGACTAAGGCATTCACCAAGGACTTTATAAGAACAGTATCCAACCCTGAGCCAGACCTCCTCCTGCTATGACAAATCTTAGCTAATGCCTGCCTCCCTTGCAGCTTCTTGTTTACTGCTCACAACCAGGAGAGGATGCCTGCCTGCCACACTGTGGTTATGTGCTGTTGGGATGATTTCAACCCTACAGGACAGAGCAGAACTGCCCCACAGGATTTGCTAGGCTGTAATCTTTACAGGAGCAGATTGCCACTCCTGCAGAGTGGCTGGTGGGTTTGAACCACTAACTTTTCAGTTATTAGCCGAATGCTTAACCATTGCACCACCGGGGCTCTTCCTGCTACATTACACACCAGGACTGCACATGTGTTACTTCATGACCCAGTTGTGAAGGGAGGTGTCATTATTATTCCTATTTTACTGATAAGGATGCTGAGGCTTAGCAGGGTGAAGTCAGAGAAGAGGAAGTTTTAGCCCAAATCTGTCTCCCAGTGTGTCTCCTGACACTACCAGGAGCTTCCACTTGCTGGCATGTGGGTTTAATCACTCTGTGAGGCTCATGCCTTGATCTGAGAAATGGTTCCAGAGAGGGGAGAATGCACCAGGCAGGTACATGCTACTTGGTGAGTTAAATCAGCTGTGGCATAATGGGACGAGCCCTAAAGTTGGAGTCAACAGACTCTGGCTCTACCTGGCCAGCTCCACTTGGCCAGTGATAGATAAATCTTTCACCCTCTACTCAGCCTGCTAGAATCTACTAAGTTTCTGTCTTTCTCTCCCTAATTTCCGCTTAGATCTTTCTCTCCCTAATTTCCGCTTAGATCCTTTGTGTTCTTTCTGCTCTTCAGCAGCCCCCTTCAAACCCCCCAGTTTCCAGTGCAGCTTTGTCCACCCCCCCAGGCAGGCCCCCCCATTTCCGCTTGGATCCTTTCTTTGTCCCAGGCTTATCTTGTCCCCACCCTCTTTTGCATTTAGTTCTACTTCAACCCTTAGGATTGGTTCTTCTGAAATAGGCAAATGACCTTCTGCCTCAAAACACTACTTAAGCACCCTGCAGAGGCAGGTTCCAGGGCTGATGCTGTTCTAATCCTCAGCCTATCTGCCTGAGGATGTTTCAGTAAAACTTGTGTTCTAACAATTCACCCTGGTCTTGTTCTCCTCAGTATTTCGACACCTAAACAGCCAGGTGTTATGAGAATTGAAGACAATAGGTATAAATAACTGTGCACTGCCTGGCATGTAGTAGGTGCTCAATTCATGGAAGCCCTTTTTACTGATTATGTCTATTGCTAATGGCTGCTCTCAGGCGTGCAGCCTGCTGTTCTTCCAAGCGTCTGTCTGCATCACCCAATTATTACCAGACACCTTGCATCTTCTGGCTTTTTTAAATTAACATTTTAAAGAAGGGAATCTTTCTGCTTGGCTGGCTCTGCCTGAGGGTTCAGATGGAAACTGGGCCCAGTGAGTTTAAGTGCCAGGTCCCTGGCCCCCTTGCTGTATTTGCATTTTGTTTTCTTATTATTTGCATTTTGGTTTCAGTTTCTTCCTCTTTCAGCCTTTTCATTTGCCTTCTCCTGTTTGCCAACATCTAATCTATTTGGAGGAACAGCGGTGAGCAATTGGACCAAGTCACGGCCTGGGGAGCCAAGGACTTGGTGTCCTGATGTGCCTTCCTTTTATGACCTTAGACCTGCCACTGTGCTGGACTGTGATTTCTGCCCTTCTCAAACGAGCTGGATTCCGTATTGTGAATCCAGTGCCTTCATGGTGGCCTGTTTCATGTGGATCTGGGGAATGAATTCTGTGAACCGTGCCTGGTTTTGCGGTCTTGGCAGGAAGCAGAGAAAGATGGAGATGTTAGTACGTTTGACAGATGCTTGGAAACCCCAAAGCACAAAAACAAATCTGAAACAAACCCCCAAAATACAAACAACTCCAAAAGCGGAAGCCCCACGGCCCAAGCAGTTCCCTTATGCTCAGTACCATTATGCTTCATCCATGGCAGAAAAGCCGTCCGCCTGATTTACAGAACTAGACAGGCAGAGAGGCAGCGGGGAGGAGTGTGGGCTTCACAGTCAGCCTGGACGGGCGTGCATGGGGACCGTCACTAGCTGAGTGCCCTCCAGAATGTCATTTCACATCTCTGAGCCTCAGGGTATCTGGGGATAATAACAGATGCATGCTTCCCTGATAGGCTTGGAGTGGGCTTAAACAAGATGCTGTATAGAGAGGGAAGTCCCTGGGTGGTACAAACAGTTAATGTACTTGGCTGCTAACCAAAAGGTTGGAAGTTCAAGTCCACTGACAGGTGTATCAGGAGAAAGCCTAGTGATCTGCTGCTGAAACATCAGCCAACCCTGCGGTACACAGCTCTCCTCAGACACAACACGGGGGCCATGAGTTGGAGCCGACTCGAAGGCAAGTGGTTTGGTTTACAGAGGAGCTGATGAGGTCATGTCAGAGCCCAGGGGCCTGTGGGGTTCTCTGAGCTGGTGACTTTCATCTTCTGGGAACTCTGGAAGACACATCTCTTTGAGAACTCATGAAAGCCACTGACATTCCCCACCCTCCCTCCCCAAAATGAACATATACAAATAAAAATCTTATACCAACCCACAATGTAATCCAGCCCTTTGTTTTTAGAGTTGAAGAAATCCAGGCCTTCCTTCAAGATGATCTTTGTAAAAAGCTTATCAGTTCCCTTAAATCCCTTCTTTAAAACATCCAATGGCTTCCCTTTATTCTTGGATTGAAACAGACTCCATCCCATGCCCTAAAAGATCTGCGTGACCTGGCCCCTGCCCACCCCACTGACTTCCCACCCTGTCCCTCCCCTAACCCCTCACCATAATCAAGCACTGTGACCTTCTTTACTAAGTAGCAACTCATCGAGCATTTGGGCTCCACATGTGCTAGTTGCTCTGTGGGAAATCTCCTCTAGGCCTTTATCTCATCCTCCCTCATTATTTAGATCTCTGCTCAAATAGCATCCCAAAGAAAGGCCCTTTCTGACCAGCTAAAGCAGAGGTTTCCAAACTCTCTCTGTGAAATGTCAGACAGTATGTATTTTAGGCTTTGCAGACTAAGGAGCCCTGGTGGGGTAATGGTTAAACACTTGGCTATTAACTGAAAGGTCAGTAGTTTGAACCCACGAGCTGCTCCAAGGAAGAAAAGACTTGGCAACCTGCTTCTATAAAGATTACAGCCTAGGAAACCCTATGGGCCTATGGGGCAGTTCTACTCAGTCCTATAGGGTCGTTATGAGTTGGAATTGACTAGATGGCTCACAACAACAGTGGGCCATATGGCCTCTGATGCAACTGGTCAATTCTGCCCTTGAAGGGTGTGGTGGTTAAGTTTGTGTGTCAACTTGGCTGGGCCTGGTTGAGTGACTGCGCAGCTGGATGTAGTATTCCCCATAATGAGACTGGTAATCAACACCAAGGTGGAATCTACTGTGAGCAGCTGAGTAGCTGCCTTTGGGTATGTGGTCTGCCTCCCGTATATAAGAAACAGCTTTGGGAATGGTCTCTAACTTATGGCACACTTGAACCCTGCGTGTAGCCGTGTTGTTGCTCAGCAGCTTGCCATGCTCTGCCGACCTTGGGACTTTCAATGGACTTGAATTGATGGCCTGCCGTGTGCTTTGGTAACATCGGGACTGTGCCATTGTCAACCTTGGGCTTGTCAGCCTCAGCAGCCAGTAGCTGCCTGAGTGAAGAGATGCCTCTAGCTTCAGTGGGCCGGGAGCAATAGGCAGAGCTGAAGCCCAAGGTTGAGGGACTTTCACCCAGCCCCTAGAGCCTGGCACTTTTAACTCGGGCTTAAAGCCTCCAAACTGTAAGAGAACTCCTGTTTGTTAAAGCCATCCCATTTGTGGTATATTTTCTGTTAGGACAGTACTAGGTAACCAGAACAGAGGGCCAGAGCAAGGAGCCCTGGTGGTGCAGTGGTTGCAGCCCTTGAGTGCTAACCAAAAGGTTAGCCACTTCGTAGGCAGTCTGCGTCCATGAAGATTTACAGCTTTGGGAATCCAATGGGGCAGTTCTGTCCTGTTCTGTAGGGTTGCTATGAGTCAGAATTGACTCCAATGAGTCAGAATTGACTCCATGGCAATTACAGACAGGGCCAGAGCAGCCATAGACTATATGTAAATGAATGGGTTCCAATAAACCTGTGTTTACAAAAACAAGCAACAGGCTGAATTTGGCCCAACTGCCATCATTTGCTGACCCTGTTGCTGTTGTTATGTGCCATCGAGTCGGACCCGACTAATAGCGATCCCTCCTTGGGTTTCCGAGGCAGTATCACTATGGCAGTAGATTAGCCACCTGTCCTCCCGAGGAGCGGCTGGTGGGTTTGAACTGCCAGCCTTCTGGTTAGCAGTCAAGTGCCTTAGGCACTACACTACCAGAGCTCCCTTGCTGACCCTAGTCCCTGGGAAGCGTAATGGGTTAATGTGTTTGGCTGCTAATCAGAAGGTTAGAGATTGGCGTCCCCCCAGAGGTGTCTTGGAAGAAAGGCCTGATAATCGACTGCTGAAAAAAGAGCAGCACTGGAAACCCTATGGAGCACAGTTCTACTGTGACACACATGGGTCACCATGAGTTGGAGTCAGCTGATGACAATGGAACCAACTGGAACTCAAGTATCACCTGCTGCCCCTTTATCACTCTCAACTCCTTTCCTGCATTCTGTTCTCTACACCCTCTCAGAAACTCTCCTGTTCATTTATTGTCCTCCTTACGTACTGTCTATCGCCTGCACTATCGCCGGCAGAACCTTGCCTGTCTTTTTCACTGCTTTATCCCGGAGCCAGCTCAGTGCCTGGCACCGAGTAGACACTCACTCAGTAGTATTGGCTGAATGAAAGAATCATTGCCATTGATCCATGCAAGCTGAGGAGGAAGTCCTGAGAGGCCTGCTAACTAAGCAGGCGGGTCAGCAGCTGTGTCTCCTCCCTGACATTGCTCCCACTGCTTGGGAAAGGAGAGACTCATCCCGTTTACCTTCCAGAAATAAAGAGAAGCTGCTTACCTCTCTCATAACTTGCCTGCAGGCCCCACACGGCGAAGTAAAATCATCTTTTACATCACTGGGGAAGCAAAGAATCAAACTCAGATTAGTCACGGAGGCATGAGGACAACTGCTGAGGCTCAGGGCCTGTCCCTGCCCTACTCCAGATCAGGCCATGCTATGTCCTAGAGGCTGAGAAGAAGGCACCAGGGTGGCTTTGCACACTTCCATGAGGCAAGGCCATGGGCAGGGATGTGGTACATTCAATATATCTTTAGTGAGCACTTAATTGTCTCCACACCTTGGGGATATGGTTAAGGAGGCTTTGCCTCTGGCCTTCAAAACACTGCTCAGCCAAATGGACAATAGAGAAAACTAGACGTGTATCACAGTAAAGTATTTATGTATCTATACAGAGTATGCAGTAAGAACACACTGGTAATCCCTGCCTCCCTCCTATGGGTAAGAGAATATTTTATGTGGGAGGTGGCATTTGGCCTGGTCCTTGGAGAAGAACAGGGTTCACAAGTCACCATTTAGTGAACACCTGCTATGCACCAAGCTCTATACCAGGTACTTCATGTACATTAGGGAGCTCTGGTGGCATAGTGCCTAAGGCATTTGACTGCTAACCAGAAGGCTGGCGGTTCAAACCCATCAGCCACTCCTCGGAAGGAAGGTTGGGCAATCTACTACATAGAGATACCTGCTCAGAAACTCAAGGAGGGGTTGTTATGAGTCGGATCCGACTCGATGGCAGTGAGTTTCATGTTTTGTAAAGTGGCAGATCAGCAAAACGAGGGAAACCCTACATGGCATTGGCACAAGAGCCTCAACAATGGGCTCAAACATATCAAAGATCACAGAGACGGTGCAGGACGGGCAACATGTCACTCTGCTATACATACGCTGCCGACTCGATGGCAACTTAACAGCAAAACTATATATTAACAATTATTATACTGTTTAATGTGTGCCTAGAATGTGCCAGGTACCCTGAAAAATAATTTATATGCATTACTTCATTTTAATCAACAAATATTTATTGAGCACCTACTATGTGTCAGACACTATCATTGGTGCTAAGGCTACAGAAGTAAACAAAACAGATAAAAATTAAACTCAGGAGTTTATAGTGTAGTGAGAGGAGCCAGCCAACCAGCTAACCAACCAACTAGTCAACCAACAAGCCAACCAACCAACCAACCAGCCAGTCATGTATCACACAGAGACAGGGACAGATGTTATGAATAAGAATAATGCCAATAGCAACGATGGTCTCTCTTCGTCCAGAGCAAAGAAGAATGAAGAAAACAAAAAATTCATGGATACAATCAGTCCTAGAGACTGGTACACCATCCAATCTGCAGCCTATATGACTATGAGACCAGAAGAACTAGATGGTGGCCGGCTACCAATGTCAACCACTTGGAAGGGGATCTAGGAGATCCTGGATAGAGAGGGAGAACAATGTGGACAAAACTCAAAATCATTTGTGGAATAAAAAAAGGGGGGGGGGCAGGTTTGCTGGTCCAATAGAGCCTGGTGGAACCACTGAGACTATGGCCTGTAGCTGCCCTTCAGGTCTGGAATTGAACCCCACCTGTGGCTTCCAGCCAAACAAAAGACAGGCATGTGAATTGAACATTTACCTGAGGTAGATACACTCCTTGGAGAGAACAATCATGGGAGAAAGAAGGGCTGCTTATGCACAGGGAGACAGCTCAGGGGGCAGAAGTGTATGGAGGGATGGACAATGGGAAGAGGTAACTATGGGGAGGAAGTGGGAGGGGAGCTGTTGCATTGTGGTAAATTGTGGTCAATGTCATGAGACAAAGTATATGTGAACTGCTGTATGGAAAGTGAATTTGCTCTGTAAATCTTCACCCAAATCACAAGAAAAAAATAAAATAATAATAAAAAAAAGAATAATGCTGATAAAGAGGACAGAGTGGGATGGGTGCTATTTTCTTTTTATTCTCATGATAATTCACTTTAATATATGGCAGTTCAGTCGAAGAATGGCTCTGTTCCATGGAAAAGTGAGGTCCTCTCTGAGCATGTTGCCAATTTCAGAAAACAGCCCCCAGGGACATGAGAGGGGCAGGGACCCCTGACCAGGATACCACTCAGCCAAATCAAGTCTTTGGATCACCAGTTGATAGGTACTGCAGTTAGAAGCCTCTTGTAAGCTCTTTGGAGGTTGGACTCTGTTATTTTTTCCTTCATTCCACACATGGTGATCAAGAGCTTGCTACATGCTGGGGCAGGCAGGGAAGGAACAACAAAAACTCATCAAAGAATCCCTGTCTCCAGGGGACATATAATATGTGTGCAAATGTTGCAACACAGGCCAAGGGAGAGGTGCTTCAAGTGAGAGTCAGCCCGTGGCCTATAAGGCCTTCTTTGATCTGACTCCTGCTGAACACGCCATTTCCTTTCCCACTCTTTTTTTTTTTTTTTTTT